AATACGATATGAGCTGCCAAAGCTTTTATGCTATTCACTATTAAAACCTCATTTGTTGAACGGCCAACGTTTGCTAGTAGTGACCTATTTGTAGTCAATATAACTATTCAAATTTATAGATGTTTTTATGTATCGCTAGCGACAATGAAACATGATAAGCAAAATGTTCTTGTAATCCAACAAAATCAGAACCAGTTGAGTTGTGTCTTGGATTGTACGTCTCATTAAGTTTCACGTATTAAAAAGTTTTGAAGTGTTAATAACATGAGATTTGTTTAGAGAAGGAATCTCAATTGTAAACTCTTTAATTAATTAAACGGTCGCCGGTATTAGGTAAGCGATTAGTAAGTAATTTGAATACATTTTGAAATCAACAAAACTATATTTAGGTATTGCAAGGTTACCACACATACATTTCACATTGCAACTGAACGAAATGAAGTAAGTTCAACTGAATTTATTTTATTATAGGTAAGTACCATGTAAACCGCAAGACGGGGAAGTTGCTTTATATCGTTTCCTGCATTTATAGTATATGCAGTAGGTGCTTACATTATATTTTCTGTTGTAAAATTAAGTAGTTTGATAAATGATACACAATATCTAATGAAACTTAATGAATATTACTTGCAAAACACTTCTACATAACTTAGTGAGTATTAAGTTAAATATATATCACCGACCTTTTCAAGCTACTGATGGAATGTAACCTTTCGCATTAACACTTATGTTACGAGGTGTGCATTATAGTGAATGTTACAACACCATGAGTTTCATACCATACTTTAACCAGTGACCGTTGTGGCCAGGCAAAGAAAGTAAGCACTCGAGGTGATTCGTTACGGTTTCATTCGTTTTTGCTGTCATAAATGAAGTTAATGTTCTAATTTCATGTTTATATGAATGAAAATGTCTATTCGTTTATTATTATATTTTTGCACCTATAACGTTGTATTATCTATATATCTACCTATGTACAGTATACAAATGTCACTTCCCATCCCACTGTCTGTACACTGAGATCCGGTACACTACACGACAGATCATAACACGGTTTATTATATATATATAATATATTATAAATCTATAGCACTCTATCAAGTAGTGATTCAAGAGTGTGGTTTATATACATATATAGTATGGGAACAAGTGGGCGAAGCGAATTTTAGACGTATATTATACTATAAAATAAAAATATTTAAAAACAAACAAAATGCGAGCGAAGCCACTGGAGAAAAGCTAGTTAATTATTAAAATATTAGAAAAGAGTAAAGTACTTGAAATCATTCGTAGACAAAACTCAAATTAAAAAAGAAAATGGATTGTTGTTCTACCAATAATTAGTATTAAGTACTATATAAAAAAATAGTCTAGAATTAGATTCATCTTATTTGCCTCTGTAGTCGTTACATAAAGCTATATAAAAAACTGATTTATTACATTTGATCAATTTTGCAGTCACAATGCTTTATTGGAAAATATCCATAGTGAAAAATGCAAAAATCCACTTGGTCCCTGGTACTGTGAGATGGTATTCAAACCGGGGCAAACATATCCGGGCGACTGCTTCAAATCCTGCATAGCTCAGTGGTTAGAGCAGTCGTCGTAAAAGGTCGCGGGTTCAAATCCCATCTTAGAGTACCAGGGACAAAGTAGAATTATTAAGCATTTTCATTAAGAATAAAAAAACAGGTGTTTAGGTATTACATCCGTATGTCATTGGAAACAGATTACGAAGCGTGCAAGCGGCCGATTTTCAGTAGCGAGTCATTTCAGGAGGTCGCAGTATAAACTGAAATGCCGTCGGGTTAGAACAGTTGCTAACGATGATACATATTACTGTGACTTTACTGCCTTTCTTACTCGTAAGAGTTTGTTACTTAATCACCGGGTTTTTATACGAGATTCTTTGTTGGGATAAGTGAAACTATAGTTTAAATGTTTGCTTTGCACTCGCGGAGATTGCGTAGGTAAGCTTTGTGCTTAGTACACTATTAAATTTTGAAGTATTTTAGCGTATGCATAGATATTATTACTTATGTACTTCCGCTTTATGCCGAAACAAGTATACTTTTTAATAAATTTTATTACTTAATATGATTACTAACTAATGCGACTACAGAAACTAAAAATACTTGGATGTATTTTATACTGGAACTAATCAGTAGTGTGTCTCTTCACGATAATTTTATAAATGATCAAATTATGAATGGTGGTATATCCATAATTATACCTATAATATCAACTGCATGCGGCACCAGAATTCCGTCATATTATTTATTACAAAAATACCTCAGTAGGTAAATGATATTCGCATAATGATATCATACTAGGTATAAGTATTATATTACTGTATAAGAATTGTATAAGTACTATAATTAAAATATTTTGCTGTCACAAATCCATTGTAGATTAAATTATCCTAATAAATTTGAAAACATGAAATTCATATCAAACATATGAACTATTTATTAGTAGTTACTAGTGGTCGCCCAGTGTCGAAATTCGACCATAATAAATTTCAATTAAAAGTTATAACAGAAATCGAAAAAAGTAACAAATGCTTGAAAAATTCGTTAGTCCTGTTAGGTCCTAGGTAGCTCAGTGGTTAGAGCAGTCGCCCGGATTGCGAAATGTTGTGGGTTCGATTCCAATCTCAGGATGCCATGGACCAAGTGGATTTTTTAAGCATTTTGTATTAGGAATAATCTTTTGACATTCAGTAAGGCCACAGTAAACATCACAAATGTATAAATAGATGTTTATGGTAAATATACAAAACTTGACACTGGCTAATGTATTTTATAAGCATTATTATTGAAAAATATTAGTCGTTTGCACTTTTCGTACATATAAACTATAAGTGGTCCAAAGTTCTTGCTTCACGTATCATAGATTTATATAATATTTATATAGATTTCCAAGACTATTTTTGGATTAAATTTAATAAACTAATAATAAAGGAACAAGAAAAGTTATTCAGTTTCAATTTCTATTTCATTTATTTTATACTAGTTTTTATTAATTGAAAATATTGTAAATATGGGATGTATAAAACAGTTGAAAATTGTTATGCATCCCATATTATAACAAAAATGTTGAAAGTTTGAATAGTCTATAAAATTTTATTTTTACACTCTGTTCCAATTGTCATTTCTAATTGTTTCAAGGAGTAGATACGTAATAGCACAGTTGTTGCATCTTTTATTTTACATTCTTCTAGTTCTTGTGACTTATATCTAGATAACTCATAAAATATCATTATCATCCCTGTTTCGTCCCCACCGCAGAGGCTCAGGCCTTCCTTGCGGATGGTTAAGGAGGATGGGCTACGCTGGTCTGTTCTGGATTGGAGAGTATTAACTGCTTAACGTGTCTTCCGAAGCACGTAGTAGCTCGAGATAATAATATTTTGGTCACCCATCCCGTTATCGACCCTTGCGAAAGTTGCTTAACAACAACGTTCGCAGGCCGCGTCAATTATCCACTACACTACCGAGCTAAAATATAATGGAAAAATAATTTAAATGTTATAATACTAGGCGGCTGAGTGCACCAAGCTCAGGATCAGCGAGGCGTAGGGCACGCGAGCGACGGCGGGCAGAGCAGACTAGGGCTGAGGGCGAGCGACTAGCACTTGAACGTAAAGAGCAGCGGGCCAGAGAGAAAATAGAATTACAGCGACAGGTACCCGCGATTGTCTATGATAAGCGTTAGACGCAAAATATGTATCTTTTTGGTCATTCAAATCATCATTTATTCGGAAAGCGATTGCTACTTTAAAAGTTACATACCACCATAATAGGCAATTACAATCGCTGTATTTTTGAAAATAATTGTAATAGATATTGAAATTAGACAATTAGGCCGCAGGTTCTGGTTTTTGATTTGTTTAGATTTGTGTTCAGGATTATGATAAAATTAAGTTGTAATTTTATCATAATTAAGTTTTAATTTTATCATTTATTATGGATTTCAATTACAATTATGTCTTTATCATAATCATAACCCTACGATATTCGTAAATTACCTACACGTTTTAGGTAATCTATAAATTACCTAGGTATTGTATAGAATACGGGATCATACAGATTAGATCTATTCTCGGTTACGGCGATGTTAAAAATGCCCCTTCCAAAGACGTCCCGAGAGGTCGTCATTTCATCGTAGTAGTTTAAATTTCCACATGACTAAAACTTGAGTTATCTGTGATTTAATATACGTCGTTTTATATTCATAAGATTTTTTCTATAATGTGCATCATTAATGATGGACATAGTATTTTAGAACAAATAATAATTTAAGGTTGTTAACAAATTCTTTGTTTGCTGCACTATAAACATTAGATACGCATAATATTACGTGACAGGATCATAAATGTAAGTATTTCAAATTGCGTAGGTGCAAGTAAATGAGTGTCGTCATTTGTTCGTTCGAGAACAGCCTTAAACGATGATTACGAGACAAGAGAAAACGGAAACATGCTAGACGTATGTAATACAAACAAAGGCGAAGGATTACATCGTTAAGGCTGACCAAGACACATATATTTTATTATTCATTAATTAATTATTATATTTGTGAATTTTAGTACTGTTATCGGTTCCCGCTTTCATTTAAAGCTTGCGGAATACCTATTGCTGATATATCATTTTAATATATAGTGAGACATCAGCATCGTAAATAGGAATTTTGAAATGAACCCGAATTTTAATCTATAACCTCCTATAATATTTGTAGATTTTAAATATCGAGAGACTGTGTAAACTTTAATAACTGTGTTATGTATAAAGGAATGAAATGTGTTTATAAATTCACGTGAAAACTTATTTTTTGTCAATTTTATGGTACTTCATTACTTTTGCCTTCTCCCTTGTTTCGTGTCCAAAAAGAGTATTTTCTTTATTCGTTAAGGTCTCTTAGGAATACACTACTTAAATTAACATTATAATACGATTTGGTGTGAGGCAGGCCCGTGAGGAGCTGGCTTCATTCGCACCATGGGGCCGCGCGGGCGGCGGCGCACCCAACCCACGAGGCGTTCGTTTCACAAACCTTCGAGACACTGGCATTTATCCCGAGGACGAGTTAAGGGTAAGTAAAGTACTGTAACGTCCTTGCACATTACTGTAGATTTAATCTCCGATTATGTAATGGGTGATGCTGGTCCCTAATATTTGAATATTTAGTTTTTCGCGTTCGAATTCGCGGTGTATTTTCTTGCTGGTTGATAATCTTTCTTTTTGATTTAAGCCGACGCGCGACGTAGGATGGACGCAGGGATAAGAGCTAAAAGTATTTTAGTTATTGTCATAGTTAATTCAGAGCAATTCCATCATCCCTATAGATTAGAGAGGTTAAGGGTAAGTATATTACCTATTACAGAAAAAATACTTAAAACTAATCCTAGACTTAATATCACAAACAAGGCTAGGGCTAGTGCGGATTGCGAAAGGTCTCATCTCAGAGTGCCAGATATTTTTACCATTTTTCATTAAGAATATTTTTCAGTATAGCATTGTGAAGGCAAAATTATTCAATTATAATAAATGGCTAATTCTTTTTGAGCTACCGGTGGCCTAATGAGACTGTCGAATTAACAAGCACCACATTTCTGAATAAAAAATATCAAAAAAGGTAATAATAAAGTTTTGGATTCATATCAATAACCCTTACATTGAGACTTACTCTGAGATATAAATGACTTCACGATTTCAATGGTAGTAATATGCCGAGACATAAGTTCTGTAAAAAAATAACCAACGCAATTATATTAAAACGATCAGAAACTTTGAACTGGTGCAAATGTTATAAATGCAATGTTTGATTGAGTTTAGGGGGCGTCCATAAATTACGTGAGATGTTTAAGGAGGGGAGGGGGTCGAGGCAAATCTCATCTAATCTTACGTTTGAGAGAGGGGGGGTCTCGGCAAATATCACGCAATTTTTTTTCTGATTGAAACAAAAAAATATATACTATTTTGGTCCATTTAATCCAGATTGTACATGCTTAAGATTTAATCTTAAGCGTAATCGTATACGATTAAGATCATTCACTAATTCGTTCAAAAGAAAATAATTTCATTCATACTTCGACTCTATACATCTACTGAATGTCAAACCACCATATTTGTAGGGTTTGAACGATACTTTCGATACCGAGTAGGTATCGATACTTTCAAAAGCGATCCTCGATACTTAGTACTCGATACTACAACAAGGCAAATACTCGCAAGTACTCATCAAATTGTATTTTGAAATATCTCGCGTGAGATTGGGGGATGGGGGAGGGGGTTGAATAAAATCTCACGACATCTCACCAGAGGGGGAGGGAGGGACAGAAAATTTAAAAAACACCTCACGTAATTTATGGACGCCCCCTTACCCTTCATTCCTTATCATCACAAAAATAAATCGCATAGTAAGATACTTTAATATGATACTTGACCCTAGGGGATTACACACAGGTACTCGAGCTTCGAATGTTTGTTAAATGATGTTTACAGAATAAAATGACGTCTAAGCATGTCGCTGTTTTGTTATTACATCGGGTGCTTGGGGACGACAGCAATTATAATAAGTTAAAAATATAATATTAATTTTATGAAATTATGAGAATTTAAACTAAGATCTGGGGCATTCCCTTGATTAAAGTGATTTTGACATCACTTGTAATTAAGAAAGTGTTAACAGTCCCCATATATGTTGGAAATTTGTAAATATAAAAAAATGTATACATATTTTTCGTTGTCATTAGTAACACAGAATCTAAATAAAATTCACTATATCTAACTTGTTTCAAAGTTATTCAGGGTGTGAATGAATATTGGAACATGATGTGTTACCTAATACCTAAATATTTAACACGTAAGTGGCATACAACCACAAAGTATAAAAGCAATATGCTGTAAGCCTCGTAAACATTTGCTGAACTTCAATCTTTAAAACATAAAACAGATTTCTTTAATCTCGAATTTTGATATATCTGTTTTTGTACGAATGTTGCAATCCCGATGCCATTTCGGATCATTAAAAAAATTCGGAGCATATCCTTTTTAGAATATTTTCATAAAATGTTAAAAATTTGCCCGCTAAATCTGAATATGATTTCTGTGACATTTCCTTTTTAATTTATCATTTAGACGGAAATATTTTTAAGGAGTTTCCATTCCAAAGATATAGATTTGTTACATGTTATACTTTTATTCAACTCTGACCTTTTATGCTTATGGAAAAGGTCACGTCAGCTTACACGCTAGACTAACACGATTTTCAGTATGATTTGATGTGATGATGTCAGTAAACCTTATAAACGATATATTCAATGCTATTAACTCTATATCTAAGATGCCTACAAAATGAAATCTCAAAAAGTGTTAAATTGCTAAAAATTTCATCACATCATTATCTGAGCCCACTTTCTACCAAAGTGGTATAGGCCTCCTTCAGTTTAAAAAAAAAATAATGGAAGTGTAGTAAAATAATAAAATTACGTACAAAGCTTATATATCAATTCTAATACGCAAACCAATCGATCAAGAAAAATTCATTCACAAAGTAAATTAGTTATACTTTACCTATTCCTACTTTTTTATACCTAAACGATTCACTAAACAATTCGTCGAATATTGTTTCACATAATTTTCACATTCATAAATAAATTATCAATATTAAATGCTATACAACTTCATATAACCGATAGTAGATTGAGATTTAAAGATACAATAAGTATCTTATAAATCACTGTAGCGCTGTGTTTTGAATAATGTGACGCGTTGGAATTTTCTTGCATATAATTTTATTATTAAGCATCCGACTGTGTTACACAGTTACTTCGTGCACTTTTACCAAACTCTCACTAGCGGATAAATGGTACAAGAAAGTCTCTACTGGATATATTATTATATTAAGGGTTCCTAAAAGCTGCTAATAGGTTCTTATTTATATCACAATAATAGTCATTATGGTGATAATTAAGACAAATACATTTGTCTTTTCGGATATCGGTCTCTTTGTCACAGGGTTGTATTAAAGAACATTTTGAACATTACTGAAAGTTGAAAACAAAAAAAAAAACATTAAAAAAAATAGAGCAGATAACAAATTTTAAAAAGATGAAAAATAATTCTTGACTTAGAAGCGGGCAATTTTTTCAATGTTTATTCCAAGTTCAAAGCGACTTCAATATTGAAAAAATTAATTAAGAATAATATTTCACTTTTTTTAATTTGATATCGGGTCTGTGTTTTGAAAAATGTTTCTATTACATTAGTTTTAGTGATACCTATATAAGTACTAAATGTTTTATTGAGGTAGGTATATCTAAAATATAAAATTTGTATTTAAAATAATTTGTATTAACTTTCGTTTTTTATTATTTGCACGATGCACCCACAAAGATATCGGTGAACATACCTACTTGTATAAAAATAATATAATATAAATATATATATCATTGATAGCTCAATAGAGATAGGGAAACCTGCGAAAACCAAAGAGTAAAGTATATAAGACAACTGATGCTATATAATGCTATGATCCAAGCTATAGAACAAATAGTAAAAGTAACTTCAAAAATTACTACAAAGAATATATTTATATAAAGATATGAAAAAATATAAATTATGCACAAAAAGGATATAATGAAAAGTACACTATTTTTGTTTTTTCATTGATGTAAACAGGGCATCAAAATATTTAGGTGATGCCTGATGAAGAGCATTTTTTGTTATATAAAAGAAAATACTTATTCGATTTCGATAAAATTTTAATGGACCATTAACCTGTTGAATAAAAAAGAATTTAGAATATAAAAAACATAAGAAATTCTTTTAAGTCTATCAGTCTGATAATAGAAAAATATAAGCATTTGTTTGCTCTAATTTAAACAAGAAATGGCTTTAGATAATAGGCATTAAAGTTGAGAAGTCGCTACGTCACAGTTTTGTATAAAATGTTCAAAAGCGAGACGTCACGCAACATTTCAATCTAATGTATCGCCGTTATTGATCACGCAAAAAATAAAAAAATACGTATTTAATATTCTTCAATAAAAAATTGTCTCCATTCTAATTGGCGGAGTAATCGCGTAACAAACATACAAAAAAAAACTCACATTGGAATTGAGAACCTCCTTCCTTTTCGAAGTCATTTAAAAATAACACGTGTTGTTTGATTCCTAGATGCTTTTGTTTTTTATTACTCTTACCTTAAACCCGTTTTAGAGAAATAGGGTCCCATATCCACATATCCAAAGGGTAAAACGGGACCCTATTACTGAGATTTATTTATGCTGGACAAATTACATTTAAGGCAAAGGGTTACATGTTTCAGACGAGTCGCCGCAGTGATGTAATATTGAGCTAAGAAACGAGTTAAGTCGACCTCAGTTTCATATGCTACTTACCAGTTTCTACAAACTGTGGCCGTTGACATAACAGTGTTTATATTTTTACACAATTCCGAACCATCATTCACGGCGCTACCGCAATCAATGTGTTATGGGAGCCTCCACACATGTTACCACGAATACACAAATACTTTCTGCGTCAAGTGTTAACACGATGGCGTACGTCAGCTATAGTTGATGACTTCTTTACATCCGTATTCGTATAATAGGTGAAATTGAATAACAAATATCTGTATAAAAGTTGAAGTTAATATTATAAGCTACTCTAATAGTACAAGAAGGTTCTTACAAATGTCTGCCTGTAATTGGTCATGTAATTTTTATCTAATTAGTCACTTTGTGTCTTTATGAGTCTAATGAGTCTTTAAAAGTGTGAGAAAATAAGAACCATTCCTTTATATAAATGAAGTTACTATTGTAAAGGTTACAGGGTATGTTATTTACATATAAAGCCGAAAGAAATATTTTGCAAAATAATAAAAACTTCCGATAAAGATGAAAATTTGTTCTAATTGTTATATTTGATCAGATTTGCATTCACAAAATATTCTTAATGAAAACTGCTTAAAAGGTCGTGCATATTTCTTTCCAGACCCGCAAATCCCGCGAATCCCGTGAATGTTATTCCACAACATTGAAATGGAAGAAAATATGCGGGATCCCGCAATACCAAGATCTCGGTATTCCGAGATTAGAAGCGTTAATTCGACTCGATTCAATTCTATCCATAGAGAAGGCCAGTAGGGGGGACATTAATAGACTGGGAATGATCCTATGATCGACCCTTACTCCGTAGTGCCGATTGAGGGCGCAAACCATTACGTTATCGAGCTCTTCAAAAAGACGGTTTTGTTTACTTCGAATAGGCTCCGAAACTACTGTAGTACAGTTATAGCCTATTCGATGGAAACAAACAAACAATCAAATCATTCCTTTTTATAATATTAGTATACTAGTACTATTACTAAATGATTCAGGAAATTAATTTAAATCTCATATTGTGTATACAGTCTATTGATTATTATTGAGCACTTGTGAAAGTCTAATGTATGAAGTTAACATTTATTTCTCTTGTAAGTAGTTAATCTTAGTTTAAGCTAGTCGACGTAAAATTCGCATAAAAATATCGTAAACAATTTGTAGTATTTACCTATACTAACTTTTATTATATATTTTTTTATCAATGGTCACTTTCAGGGAGTTTGTCAATACGAGCCGTGCTATCGATTTCCTACGCCGCGTCGTCGGTATCGGCGCACGCCACTGCGCCTACGTGAAGATCCGCAGCTTTGCTACGCGGACAACTTACGCCAGAGTGTCGAAAACGATATAAGATACAAGCAAACGCCTGTGCAGCAACAGAACTATAAACAGATTCTCGGTAAATAAGTTTAATGGTAATTATTTTAAAGGAGAAACCCAATTTCCTTACAGCTTTGGACCTGTGATGAAAACTTTGAAATTGGCCATAAATAACTCAATTTGGGATAATTTAAATGAGCCATATTTTCAAGATAAATATAAATATAGGTTGAAAAATGATAATAAAAGTACCTTTATTATAATTTTTGAATCACAAGGTAGCTTTTCTTGACAGAGTTTTAGACAACTCGTTTTAATAGGCCCATGAATATTTATTGAGAAGAAAGCTGCCGTTGTTTGCGTGGGTATACCAATTTATCATTCGTCGCAGTAATTGATTAGACAAAATCTACGAGAAAATATACTTATCACGATAATATATTGCCATTGTTTTAGATGACATGGTGGACAAAAGAAAGAAAGCCATCAAAGATGAATTAAAACAAAATTTAGACTACGAACGCAAAATGGTAAATGTTTAATTCGATGTCATTGAAAAATCGATATTTTGGTTCATTTTTGTTTTTATACAATTTTCAGCATACTATGGAGGGACCGTGGGGAAAGCCAGGTCCTGGAGGTGCACTTTGGAGGAACCCTCGTGATATCGGTTTAAATTTCTCAAAGTCTATGGTATCTATCATTAATAGTTGCTAAATCACTTATCCATTTCTAATACATATGATCGGTTTATCGAGTCTATTTATAGTTATTTATACGTAACATTAATAGTTATAATTATCGTATAGGTAAAATATACCGAAAAAACATAAATACTGCATAATATATATATATTTTTTTAATAAATTCATATACTAAACATGAGCAAAGGAATAAGAAATTAATACCTCAAATACAATTATATAATAAAATATTTTAGCTTAACAATAAATTTAATTTTAGGGATGGACAGATAACGAAATTTTTAATAAAATACAAGGGGATCATAAGCTCTATAAGAGGTCTTCGCTAGCTTTACCTCAAGTAAAGAGAGACGATGATGCTAGAGAACCAATTGATCCGGAAAAAGAAAACACGTCACCTAATAATGTTGAAAAATTACCTGCCATCAAGCAATCCAATAATGTCAAAGGGAACAGTGCTGAACAGTATAAAAGTGACGATAAAGATACTGAAGAAGTCAAGGGCAATGGTAAAGGAAAACGTAGTCCAAAGAAAAATAAATTCGTTAAGAGACTGTCAAATGGTGACAGAGTTCCAAAAGTAGTACCGGATGATGACTGGAACGGTGATGGGGTAATTTTACAAAATGGAGATATCAGTAACGGAAAGGAAAAGAAATTAACACCAGAGGCGAATATTTTACGTGTCACTGGTGGAATAGAGTTGGTTCCACTGCTTGCTAGGAGACGACGTGTAGGCGCTCGCACTTTACCATCGAGTGATGTCACCAGACCTCCCGAACAGCAATGTCAGTGAGTATCGAGCAATCCATTAAGTGGCATTTATTGTATGTGATGAAACTTTTGAATTGACAAAGGATATATAATTAAGTATACTTTTCATATGACATATAAAACTTGCTTGGAAGCAATGGGCTTCTTTTAGTTTCTTACGCAATAAGCAGTAAAGGTTTTTATAAATTGTGACATTATACTTGTATTACGTATAACAATAAACGTTAATAGTAAGAATGCCACTGGTATCATGATGCAGTACAATAAATGAAAGACAATCTTATTCTTGAGAATATACATAGGTAATCATTCAATAATTGCTGTAAATTTCTAACATATTTAAAAAATCCAGAAATAGGGATATAACTTCAATTTTTAAGGGTCGATGTAAATATGATAGACAATCCGTCGAGCGAATCACTTAAGTATGCGCTATTACAAGGCAGATCATCCGTCGAATGTGCAAGGTTAAATATCATCACAAATATTTGTTAGTTACAATGTTTCTCTAACGACGATATGCGAAGCATCTTCTTCTTTCCTAAAGATTTTTTTAAGGAAAGTGTATACTTTAATATAATATATTAATAATCAAGTAAAAAATCGAACCGAGTTTTTTGTTTTTGGTAATTTGTCCCAAATGAGGTTCAAACCAGAACTCCATTCTGGATAACCTTAACATTTATAGAATAGATGTGTAAAAACTAAATATGCATATAAATGCTAAATAAAGTAACTAAGAAATCATTCAGAGACGTAGTCATAGTTTTATATACAAACAAATCATCTATTATTAGCGTATTTCATTCAATAAATTTACATAGTTAGTAATACTTTAGCTTAGAAAAGCTTTAATTCCGACATAGTGAATAATTTTATACGAACCATTTACTGATATTTTTATGCAACAAGACTCACGCTTTAAAGCAAATTAATATTCATAGTTTTTACAACTTGCAAAACGACGACAGATTATAAACTCAAAAATTAATGACATTTCATGTTAAAATAGAATTGAAACACGTTGCACAATGTGGCTGTTACGAATGTTTTATAAATGGAATTATCATTCCGATGTCACGCATGCTATACATAAATATGAAAAAAGTCGCTAAAAGATTGCTCGAAGAAAACCTATTCTAGTAATATTACGGTGAACAGTTAGTGTATCTCATTTAAAGAAAGGAATTTATAATTTCTTTGTAAATAAACGCTATAACGTTTATTTACAAAGAAATTATAAATTATATTTATTTACAAAGAAAATATAATTATTAAGAATTTTAGATTAATATAATTTCCACAATTTATTTTCTTAAAAATAAAAAAAACTATGACCTTTTTTTACACTTTTTGCCACAGTCTGCCTAATTTTGGCTAACATTATTTATGTTAAATAATAGGCGGTAAATCAATAGTTCATGTCCACGCATATATCATGTTTGAAATTTCCATAACTATATTTACATCCATACGTCACTCGCCTCTTATTTTCGTCACTTCGGTGTACGTGATAATGACAGACTAATAGTACAGTCCTAATAGTGTGTATCTCGATATTCAGCGGTCACGTTGGATCGCCATTGATGTTTGCTATTGCGTCACAGCTTTCTATACGCACAATATGTGAAGATTAACGGGTTTCATTAGCTTAGTAATCTATCCGCCACCAGCTGATAATGATCTCGGACGTTGTTAGATGGATTTCGATAACTGCATTATTTAGTGGTATATGATATGCCTCATTTGTAGTTTCGTTTGATCCCGCCGACCTTTTTATAGGTTAAGATGTCCGCTACGTGAACACTTTGGATTTTGATATTTTGATATGGTATTTTGTAACTAATTGTCATTCATAATTTCTTGTTTATTAATGATCTCTTGGAGTGCTTTAGGCTATAAGAATACAGTTGTCCCACCAAAAACATTTTCATGTAAAGCGTTGCCAAGTTAAGATCATACGACTTGCATCATCAAAAAGTTATCAGATCTCCTGGTCCAATCTTGGTCCAAGCTTCCAACTCTACACGCCCTAACTCTGATAGCGCTTACTTTACAAACTCTGCATCTTATTCAAAACATATGGTTCAGCCGTTTCGCTACCGTCAAGTAGATATAATGTGAAAATATTATTTGCCGTTCTGACATACCATAGCTCTTTCTTGTAGGAATTAAAAGCCTTGCTTAATTTGCGTTATTGAAAATTGCCTTTAGTAATGTGTGTGTATAGAGGTGTAAGCCTTTAGCTTAAATTTACTACTGTAAATTTTGATACAACTTAAAAATATTATCTACATTATAAAACTGCATTTCTTAAAGTTCGTCGGGCGGTATATTTAAAATTAAATTCAATAATTAATTTAAAATTAAATTAAATTATTTTTAACAATAACAGTAGAAGAATTTGTTCAATAGCAAGTTATTTTCAATGTTTGTCCCTTTTAGGTGGCGTGAAATTGACATGCAATATCTAAGGGATCTTAAACATCAAATGCGAGTGAAGACTCAACAAATTGAAGTAAGAAACTGAAGCAAAAAACATCGTGTTATCAGTATATCTATTTGTTAACTATTTCACCTTCTGCAAAGGTTTACTGTTAAGAACACAGTGTTGTTACAGAATTGAAGGTTTATTTAATAAAATCTACAATAAATTAATAAATATTTCAAGTATTTAATTGAACCAAAATGCTGCTTGATGAATATCAGGGCTGTGTTCGAATTTGCGTTTGACTCTGTATATAAAGCTTTTTGTGATCTTTGTATTCAGGAGAAAAGAAAAGATTCAGCGGAGAGTGTGCGCCGTCATCATGAGACTTGGGAGTCTTTGTGGGGCAGACCTGGCCACGGTGCGCCCGCGCAGCGAGGCCGATATGCGCGCAGCAACCTCGCTCAGCTGCTTTACGTTGCACCACTCACGAATGCATGACAAAACACTTTAAAAAAATTGACACGAAAATATTAAGTGTTACCATCAAGTGTTTATAAAAATCAGATACATTTTGATCAATCTTTTGATTCACAATTATTCGAAAACAAAAGGCAGCAAACACTAAAAAGATATGATAACGCAAAACGTGAATGCCAGCGCAAACAATTAGTTATTATAGTACCTACTTTTTTCAATATATAATTGCACCAAAAACATTCACAAAGGTAATGTTAAATATGTATGTACAATCTGTAACACCGGCGGTGTTTGTCCACTTATATTTTAGTTTAAAGAACACTAACTGTTGCTTCGCCTGTAAAACCCTTTTTTATATTTTTTCATATATATATATTTTTTGGCAGACACAAATCTAATACACCAAATGTCTTTAAAACCGGTGTAGCCATTCTTTATTTATAAGAAGTGTAACTAGTACGACTGTTTTTATAATGGTCGAGCACTACTCACAGCTAGTATTTGAGTAAAAGTATGAATATCTGAATACTTATAGTGAACCCCTAAGAGTGCGGTTAGTTGGTATACCCACATTGTGCTTAATGGCCTTTGGACAGCAAATTGTAACGACCGCTGTGCTAGACGGTTCGGGAGTAGGTAATTTAAGAAAAAGATCTTAAAGCTCTTTACCAACACAGCCTAGACGTACAAAGTTCAGCGTTTAATTTTAACTGTATTATATTTCGTTACACTATAAAAAATAGAAATAGTGCCAATTACTTGAAAAATAAATAAACGACTTTAATTCTTATATGATTCATATTATCAATAACTTGGCATTTTGTAAACACTTAGGTATTATTATATTATTATAAAAGATGTTCTTAAATGCTCGTAAACAATGTCATAGTCAATATAAATTTTATATAATAGCTTCTTGAACAATTGTGTTGTAACTAATTATAGAGTACGTTAAAATAGAGATTGATTATTGCAGTTAGTGTATGTGTAATGAAATTATAAATATATTCTCACAAACTACTTATAAAAAATCTGATGCTTATATTACATTTCTGTAACATAATATTAAAAATATAACTACTAGGCTATGTTATTTTGTTAAAAACAAGTTTTATTAGCGTTTCTAACAGCGATACGCTTGACAAATCCGAGAATGTTTTTATACTAGAATAGCATAGCATTACGTTTTTGTACACACCTGGGTGGTGCACAAAACGTACGTAATGTAGTTGGTAGCAGATATTTACTTTATGTCACTTTATATCTAAGGCTAGAGCTTCTTGGTATTACGGTATCCCGCATCTTTTTTTCCAATCACGTGCCAGTAATTATTTTTTGTTCCGCTATTATAATTTGTAGTTGATAGATGTGTTGTTTTTTCAGTCTTTATTTCATTTTTAATTATAAATAGTAAAACTTAAGTAAATGTGGAGTTATGTTGACTTTTGTTTGCCTTTTATAAATATTAATTTTTTTTTCTATATGTGAATCCAGCAAATACAGGAATCTCGCGGGATTGATAATTTCTAGTCACGCAAATACCAAAATTGAATACCGACTGCAGGATTAGAAGCCCTAATCATTTGTTTATTGTTCAAATATCTCCTTGGAATAATTAGAATCATTATTAATGTAGAGGCAAATAATGAAACACATGTCACATGAAATATATTGTTAATTTTTATAAGCTATTAGCAACTTATATGTCAATTAAGTTTAAAATTATGCAAATCTTTAATCGATAAAAATTAGTAAATATCGTTTTATTATTAACAATATTACGTTATTTTTAACCAAAGTCATATTTCACAACATAAACAAGTTTGTCAGTTAAGACGTTCAGTTTTCAAGAAATAATGAGGACTGTAACTTTTTTCACAAAGGGTTAAGAGAAATGGAAGGTTAATCAGTCATTTATAAGTTTTTAACATTTACACTAGGATTAGTGATAGTGAAGCAACGAGTAGGTACGATGCACTTCACTGAATTCTAATTCGAATAATTCAACAAGTTACTAAATATACTAATAATTTTTTTTACGAAGATTAAATCCATTACTCACAATATTTCATTAAAAAAAATATATATTATATCTGTAACATAAATTTATGTATAACTATTAATTTGCCTAAATTCTACAAAAAAGGGACGCCACTGCTTTTTGATATAGCAATCATACTTTTTGGAAAATTAGAAGAAACATCTACAGTTAGTAGATGTATTCTCACATATGTACCTGGAGCATCAATAAGTTTTAATATGACATTCAGTAAATACAAATATTCGTGTTGAAATTTGGCAAATACGAATATTCTAAACACCTAACTACTATTTGACGATAATGAATATTCGTATTCGTTGCAGCACTGATTAGTGGTGCTGGTCCAGATTGTGTTACGTACGATTTATTGTTTGGCCGTGATTTTATTCGTCTGCACTACAGTGATTATTTATTTATATTATTTATTCCTAAATACAAGTGACTGAGAACTTAAAATAATTATAAAAACTAAACCGCAAATTGTTAAACGTACTGAGAGTGTACAAATAAAGTTTAATTACAATAATTGTTTTATTTCAAGAATCATTTCGTAAGTTCTCCCTGGTGACATGATTCTACATCACGAGCGATAAAGAAATACCAAACTCATAATTTGCAAATATAAATATATCATACAAATATATATATTTTTATCAACTATATACTGAACTACGTATAAATTCTATGTTGCTACTTATTAGGCTTAAGAAATATTTGGTCATTTCGGTCGGGGTATCGTAATATTCATAAGGAAATATTCACAATTACTACACAGAATATGTTAATTATAATGACTCTCAAATTATTAATACTAGAAAACATCAATAATATGTTGGAACATTGCCATCTTTAATTTAAAGAAAGCGAGCTATGCTTTATATACAGAATTTTTAGATTTCTTACGTTACGTCATTGCAGAGCCATTGAATTAGAAAAGGATGATCTTATAGATAAATTCAACCGCTTCATAAAGATTGGTAGTTGGAGGCTGGAGTTATTAGTAGGTACGTAAAACATTTTCTACGCTATTATACGCTCGGACCAAACTAAAGAGAAATGCCATTAATTATGGCTATTAATGTAGGTATGACACCAATGCGCGTCGTAATTATTGCCATAATAAATTCCATTTCGCCATAGTGTGGCCCGGCTATATCAAACAAAATATACCTCATGCCGAAGCCCTTGAACCCAGATCATATAACCCACGATTGCAACATACTTCGTTAACCCAATCTCATCACTTACGCAACCGATGCGATGCATCGAAATGCAGTATGATAATGTCATGGTGTCCATAACGGTACACTCGGATCTACAACTTTTAATTTCTTCACCACTTTAATTTAAATAGATTAGACATTAAATATTCAAAGATATTAGTTATAGGACTGTTATTTATTCATTATGTTTTAAGATAAACCGTATTTAAACACGGGTTAAGTAATCCTAAGATAAATGTACCTAATCGGGAATTAAAGCTTATAAGTCCGGAGTTTTAGAGCAATATTTTTATATCGCTAAAAGCATGTCTAAAGTAGCTGCTTTACGGTCGGTTAAATAATGGCACGTGTGAGTCAAAAGTCTGTAAAATAGCTTTGCAATTGATATAAGCGGACCGATTAGATAGACCATCAATATACGTAGTGTTGTTACAACATCGTACGTTGTTGTATATCAAAATCGACAATAGATTTTAATATTCATATTTAACTTAAAGAACCATAAAAAAAGTATTTTCCAGTCCCAGGTGTCTGAGATGAGATTCGAAACCGTAACATTGCACAATCTGGCCGATTGCTCTAATCATTAAGCTACAAAGAACTTTCAAACTTTTATTTATCAATTAAACTAATTCACAATATAGCATTGCAAAAAAGAATCAAATATATTGATGCTTTCGTTCAATCAGTAGTTCAAATTATTATATATCATAGAGTAACTATATCTAGGTACTGTTATTGAATAATGCCGTTTGTAACACTCTGTTGACCATAAATATAATAAACATAATACATCTGAAGATTTATTTTTTATACTTAATTATTGGTTAGATATGTAGGTAGTTCTATAAATAATAATCTATAATTGCCTATACTTGTGAAATGGTGAACATATTTTTTTTAATATATCTGTTGCAGGGAATTTTAATCCTTTTTCTTGAAATGAAAGCCTCAAGAGGCGTTTCAGGAAGAGAGGCGTTTAGCGAAAAAATATAGGTGAGGAAAGAGCAGGATTAGGTTAGGTTGGCTTAGATCCAGAAAGAAGTAGGTGGAAAAAAAAATAAAGGAACAATGTCACACAACTGTAGTAACATACTTACATTTGAAGATCATCAAAGCTTAATGTGTTAAATGAAATGTGAACAAAAATAAACTATTACCATTAAATGGGTCTTTATGCGTGGGTCAACCAAATCCGCGCCTGTGATCACTAAGATATTCGTAAAGCAAACAGAAAAGTGCGTATATGTAAATGACGCATACAGAGAAAGCACCGCAACATGACGCAATAAAATCTGACATTTTAGCTTGGAGGTACGGCAGTGATATTGAAATTCATAACTTTTTGGAAATTTTTTAAACAATTTTTCCCACGTTCTGTGACATCGTGAGTATTGTCTTTATCTGTGATCTCTACATACATCAATTTGTAAAGTTGATTTCTAACATAAATTTTGAATATATACTTAATTAGTTGTTTAAAGTGGTAATCTTTGAGTGATGGTATTTGATAAGATGTGAGGAAGATACTCGTACTTTACCTTTATTATTGTTACAATACAGTAATTGTGAACAAATGTCCAAAGAAAGATATTGTAATTATTGCGCTCTTTATAGGTAAAACTTAAGATTTTTTTGTTCGTTTTAATCAAGACTTATGTAAGTTGCTTCTTTTTATTAAAGTTTCTTTCTAGGCTTCGGCTTCGATCGTCATAATTTTTTTTTTCCTGTCATATCCATTAGTAATGTTTTTAACT